CACATCGCTGGGTCTATGTACATCGGCGCGTTCGGAAAATCCTGACGGCATAGGCTCCATCCCCTCTTGGACCCCAAGGGCGACGACACACGCCCTTCTATACAACTCTTCCTAGACGACCTTGGTTCCTCTTGCAAGTCGACGTGACCGCCCCAACTGAGAGGGATTTAGGCTGTCGTTTAGGATCACCTAGGAGGTGGTGATGCGTTGACTGAGGATGATGGGGTGCATAGGGCAAAGGATAATGCGTCGTTTGTATGAGCAAGTAACAACCCCTCTCAAAAGTGGATTTACCTATCCACTTCAGCTCACCTTCCTCCTCTGAGCCGCTTCCTCCTCCTCTTCTTACGCACCCTTCTCTATGTGCTGCGAGACCTCCTAGACATCTACCATTACCCATCCCACCGTCTACTCCATAGCACGGATGTAGGTCGCATATACACCGCTTCTAATCACTTTTGGTCAAGCGGGCTGTACAGCCGTAAATCTAATTCTTCACCGGTACCTACTGCATTCCCGACTGTTGGCATCATCAACGCCAGAACCATCACGTTTGTGTCCTTGGGCGTGAGATGCCTCAGGCAAAGGAAAGTATGTATATATATAATGCCTCATAAATTGTTGTGAAGGGAGGAAGTAGTAGCAGGCGGCATTTTTTAACGAGTGCACGTTGATGTTGTGGGAGATAATGAAATTATGATTGATATTGTGCCAGTTTGAAAACATATCAGTCCGTCAAGCTACGGAGTCAACTTGGGGGAGCAATAGCCACGCCTCCATCCTCCTTCGAGTGAGAACAGACAAGGACCCTCCAAAGACCAGTGCTTCTCCACCCTAAACCTTTGCCCTCAGTAGTTTGACATAGGCTGGAAACCCATTGAAAAAGAAGGCAGGTATCAGTAACCAGCGTCAAGCGCATCTAATCCGAAGTTACAAGAGCCCACTCAGCGATGGGTACATCTGTATGTGCGACGTTGCGGAGTGGCGACGACGAGCTGCGGATGGATACGCATGACGGAGATTCTACGCGGTGTGCACGCCCAGTCCAGAGCCAATGATTGCTCGTATCACGGGCAGAGATTGCGGCTGTTGGGTGATATATCATGGATGTAACGGCACATAGAGCATCGCGTGGGGTACCTGAGAAGTTCTGAGGAATGAGGAGAGGAGAATGACCGAATAACCACATGGTTGGGTGCAACCGATCAGATGGTCAATGTACGTGTGGGGTCCCGTCGCGACTCGATGCACGAAGGGATGCAAGTGGCCGGGTCGTGAGGGCCAGCCACGGTGGACCTAGGAAAGGCGG